AGTTATCTACCACTGTTTTATTCAAGACAGGAACAGCGAAGAGTTTCAGAATAATTTCTGTCTTACTTCAGCTACCATCCTCACAGCAGTAAAGACCCAGTAGAGACTACGTCCCCAGAACTGAAGTACTTAGACTTGGGCAGGAGTGAAGTAAATGTTTTGAGGTGGTTTGAGCAGTCAGATTGTATTGCATCTCTTGTGCTTCTTGGTTGCATTTACAGTAGGCTTGGATTTTCTGATGCTGTATAGCTATATACTTTAGATGGCACTTTGAGTTGTGATGGGACTTAAAAGCTGTTAATGTCAACACAATATAAAAATAAAACCAAAATGGGAAAGAGTAGGAAATGTCTGCAGCTGGATAAAACAAGTAAATGTATCAGCGATCAAGAACAACCACATTTGTTTGTAAAAGGAAATACCAGCACAGTTGGAATGCTTCTTTGACCCGTGTGTGACCCGTAGCCGGGACAGACGATGGACAGAGAGAGGTGACGAGTTAAAGACGACAAGGGAGCGAGTGGGAAAGTTTACCTTTCTCACCCTCCTCTGCGGGCAGCGAGCGAGGGACGGAGGGAGGAGGAGGATATTGAAACGACAGGAGGAGACGGCGGAACAATGGGAGGGCGAGGAGGTGCGAGGAAGGACAGAGGGGAGGGAGGACATGGACACAACAGATGACAGAACAGATCAGAAAATGAATAGAGGAGATTGCAGGAGAGAGAGCAAATATTATTAGACGACCTACTGTCTACACACACACACACACACACACACGCCCAGCTGTGACCAGCCTGTGTTTCCCTCCAGTAAACACCATATCCAGCCTACTGGTGTCCCAGCAACAGATATCTTGACAACCTGATGGGAAAGCATCTTTAATATTGGTGTGTGAGTGTGTGTGTGTGTGTGTGTGTGTGTGCGCGAGTTTTGGCACCCAGGCATATGATTGGTAACCATGGTTACCAATGTCAAAGTCTGTTCTAGATGGTTTTTGAACCAATGAGTTCACTACATGCAAGAAGTGCTCATAGCTTTAAAAAAGAAAATAAACTCACAAAATGTCAAGAATGGAAAAGAAAAAATATAAAAACACCTTCTGAATTCAAGTTTCTCTCTTTTACTGAACTAAGACCAGCCTAAGAAACAAAATAAAACTCTCCCGTAAAAGCCTGTCCCTGTCGTGTCCTTATCTTCCGCGGAGTAACAGTCCTGGTTGGAGCCTCTGTGAATCACCTTGTCACTGCATTTCCTGTCTTCAAACTAGTCGAAATAAACCCTTAATTGACAGCAGTTGGATATGAAAATGCTCTGGCTCCGCAGCTGTTTTTCCTCTCACTGGTTCTCCAGCTCAGTGTGTTAACTGCACTGAACTGAGCAGCTCTCACTCTTCAGTCACAAGCAGTCCATTAAAATAGCAAAATAAAAAAATCTGCCTAAAAAAACAACCGTCCAATCGCCAATATGTCTTTCCAATCTCCCAGCCTTACTACTTTTGCTAGCTATTGCTACCCTACATGTATGAATGGGATGCGTTATACTGGTTGCATCTTCCTCTGTGTGTTGTTATTGTGGGCTTGTTGAAGCCGGTTAGATCAGACGGCAGCAGATCACAATGTGATGTCAGAGCGGTCAAATCCTAAAGGGGACTGTCTGGACACCAAGGAAGTTTAATATAGGACTAGACACAGGCTAAGCTCACTGCTTGGCCTATTCTCTGCTGTGCCCAATTACCCTGATATTATCAGCTGACAGTATGATTTCCCCCTTGGGTGCTGACAATCCCCCATGAGCGCCTGAGCTCCCAAGCAAAGCATCCCACAGAAACTGCGCTTATAACCTTCTTTAAACATCTGCAGGAATACAAGAATACCCTGTGTGTGAAATAAAATCTGAGAAGAAAACTAAGAAGGTTTTTTTTTTGGTTTTGTTTAGATGAATCAATCCTGCTCACTGTGTTCTCCCTGCTGCTGAAGGAATATTTTATTTGTGCAATGAACTTTTTAGAAGATGAAATCATTAAAACGTACTACAAGGAATTTTTAACTGGTTATGAAACAATCTCACTGTATCAGTGATGCCTGTATATGGCCTACAAGAAGATTAGCTATGTCTATATAGTTATTCTTAATGCCTGATTCAGTTAAATTCCCCTTGAAATCAATGAAACAAGGTGGTAGAAACACTACCACTTTTGTCCACAGGGGTTACCAGATAGGGGCAAGTAGGGGCTTTAAGTAACGTCTATATCTTTATTATACTGTCACATTTCCCAAGAGGAAAACCAGTTGTATTAACATGAACTTTCTGAGAGTTGTATAATGCCTGAGATGGGTAATTCATCAAAGTTACCATCAAATCTTATTTTACTTTTTCCAAAGCTGCTGAATCTTATTGTTCCATTAAATTGCTGACTCAAAAAGTGAAACTTTGAAAGCTTTCTTTAAAGCTTCCGGCTGTGTTTCCTGAAAAGACCAGGGTTCAAACTTTGAAACCACTTACCACGTTGTGTCGGCAGTAGCGCTTGTTAGCTGGGCTCTTTTTTGTTCTTTTATTGTATTGTGGATGAATTAATAATTTGTGACAAACAGAACTAAAACCCACGAGTGGATGTAAAGTTTACCGGAAGCGAACGGAGAGGGACAGACAGACAAAAATAAGGGGTTAGTTTGGTTCATTGGTCTTGAGCTCTCTTGGTAATGAAGCAGAAAAACTATATGTACAACTAGACTTCATCTCTGTCTCTTTCTATCAAGCCTCCATCTCCCTCTATCACCATAGCAATCCCTCTCTTCTGCTCCACCTTTTCTCATAGTCTTGTCGGCTTATTTCTTCTCTCCCTCTGACTGTAATGCCGACTTTTTATCTCTTGCTAATTTCACTGCTCATCTCGGTTTGGGTGATGGGATTAAGCAAGCAGCACAAACATCCTTTAGCCTTAGCCCGATCATACAGCTCCTCCGTGGATGTGTTCTGGATCTGCTCCGGGCTCTCCCAGTCAGGCAGGTCCGAAATGCCTCCACTTGGAGGAGTCTTGATCACCTCCACATGCTCCTTACTTCTTTTTACACTTTAAATTGATGTTCTTGTTTGTCTTTGTTTCGTACCACCTCACACATCAGCCCGTCCTCCTTTTGACTCTTCTGTCACTCTGTATATCCCTCATCACCTCCTTCACTGGTTGCTTCATGTCTCCAACACTGCAGCGCACGGTGAAACCTCTGCTTTTATCACAGACCTCAGACAGTGTCGAGTTTAGTCTAATTTTCTTTAGTCTTGTTTTGTCGAGATGATGTATTTTTCTTGCTGCTTCTGACCACTGACCTCTCCATGATACTTCCTCTGGTTTGGCCACACAGAGGAGACCTCTGGTTTACCGCTGAACCTCTGACAGAAACCGCTGTAACTGACAGAGTGCACAGATTGATTGAGCACAGATTGAGACTATAGATGCCGACCGACCTGCACACTGTCTTATAGCCGTGCTAGCCTCCTTAAAAGACTGTGATGCTCAATACAAACAGAAAACACAATTGTTGGGTGGATAAAATTGGAGAGAAACTTTGCTATTTTTAGTTCCCTCAAAATGAAACATGTTGCACAACTGTTTTCCAATATACAATGCATTCTCCACCAAAGCAGCCCTTGTACAAGTCCAAACGTCAGCATTATGTATAACAAGGGCCAGCAGCTTCTTAGATCTTTACCACAAGTGGGAAAAATAAAGTTAAGTTTGTTCTGAGGGTGGCACCAGAAGAAGAAAGGCCATAACCTTCCCTAAAACAATGGGTTTATTCTCTGTACGGTGGCCATTCAAGGACATCTCACTCTCAGTTAAAGTTTAAAAGCCCTACACAATATCTGCCTTTGAAGGCAACACCGACAGATGCTACTGGTTTGCTCATTTCTCGACCGTACTGTTCTGCAGAGAAAACACTAAAGGTTCAGGTTCAGTGTTAGATTCTGTTGTGTGACTTTAATCTGCTTTCACAGAGACATAGTTTTGAAGCTCTGAAAGACAAACAGTACATTTATTATATCGACAGTGTGGGTCTCAGTAAGTGAGTGTTTCCTCTCTGTCAGGCTCTCTCGTTTGACCCTGACGTTAATGGAGTGTGTCTGACGTCCTCCAGGGCAGCCAGAGATGATGCACATCCTCCTATGTGGTTTATCTGACACAGACACACACACACACACACACGCACGCACGCTTTTATCAGATGGGTTCTGTTGTTGTCTGGCCTGATACACAAATCTGATCATTTCAGAAAATTCAAAGGCAACCAAAGTCGATTTGTGTTGTGACGCCGCTGTGGTCCTTTTCACTGTCTGTCTGTTTGTAGGACTGTGTCTTGCTGGTAGTACTAGCTAGTAGGACATGTAACCGTCTCTGGGGAGTGAGCATTTTGATTGTCTGCCCCCCCCCAAACCCCTCCTGGCTGAGGGGAAATGCAACATTAAGATAAAGAGCAACTGATGTTTAGATTGGTATGAAACAAGCTGGCAATGGCCTGAAAGTCCCTACACTGATACACTGATAGCTGCAGGATGCCGCAGTGTTTAACAGCAGAGATATAAAGATATAAAACTATTTTAGATTGTAATGTTGAAATGTTTCTCTGTCTCGGTATGAATGAATCTGATTACCAGTAAGTCATCAGGCTTCCACAGATGGTTCTTCAGTGTGCTTTAATGGCATAACAAAACATTATTACCAATGTATTGAGCAATAATTCGATTGAGGAATTAAAATAAATAAGATTCCTTAAACTGAGGAAATGGGAAGCATGTGTTTTGTGTGTTGACTGTTTTTCTCTCTGTCTATTTATTTTAATTTGGGGCACCAGTTGCCTCTTTCTCTTCTTTTCAAATATGACATTCAGATAAAACACACGATGCCAAAAGCATCTGCAGAGCATGTTGAATGTGCACAACTGAGCTTTAAATAAAACCAGGATCTCTCAACAGCAGGTTTCTCTCTTTGTTTCTCTGTTTTTCAGGGACCTGAGTGAAAATTTCATCCAGGCCGTCCCGAGGAGGGCCTTCAGGGGAGCCACGGACCTCAAAAACCTGTGTGTGAAAGTATACCCACACACACACACACACACACACACACGTACCAGCACACACACAAAACACACACACACACACACAGAAGCAGTGGTACTTTGTCAGAGTGTTCCAGTTCCTTACACCACAGATCATGTAAGATCTCAGTATGTTTGAAGCTAATCTTACTACAAGAAGTTCTGAACTGGTTATGAAAACAGTTTTATTTTAATACTTGACTAGTGCAGTGCCCGTAGGAAGTATGTATTGCTATAGAAAAGTGGGAGTTAAGTAGCTTTTTCCATGGATGGCCAAATTGGACGGTTTTGTTTGAAGGTGGGACGTCAGGGATCATTTTAGGACATATAATATTAGTCCTGTTAATATAGGCCAGCATACATCAGAGAGGAGAGGAGAGAGAGAAGAGACTGGGAAGAGAACAATTTCTCCACACCCTCCTCTGTTGTGAAAGACTCAGATGCTGCGGAGGGGGGGAAATTTCCTGAAATGTCCTCCTCTGGAGGTAGTATCAGGACGCATTATTTTTTAACCGGCCTACAGTGGTGAAGGATAAGCCGACGGCGCGGAGCAGAGGGCAGTGTCGGTCAGACAGTCTGATAACGTGCACAAGGTTCTCTCACTCAACTTAATAAAGAGAAATGTCTCCCACAAAGCAATGTTACAGGACCAAACAACAGTGACGTAGTAACTGTAACTGTCTTTGGAAACATTTACATCGAGGAAAAAAAAAGTCATACCACAGCTGTACCCTTACGTTGGAGAAGCGTCTCTCTGCCTGGTCTGTCCTCCTGTCTGTCCTACCTTCCGTTACATTCTGCCCAAAAACAGCGTCTGTCATCGGCGAAAAAATCGCGGAGGTGTTAAAAACATTCCTTCGTCTTGCGAGTGAGGGAGTCAGTTTACTGCTGGTGATTATTATGTAATAATTGTGTTAACTTATAGAGTGAAAAACGTAACTTCGTCACTTATCCAGGATGGTTTGGTGGGTCAGGATCTACAATCACTACCATTATAACAGCTCCATATGACTTATAGTGTACCGCCAGGTTTAGATTGACAGGGGAGACAACTGGGAAACACCTTCAACACGGGCTCTGCAGTGATTGGCTTACTGGATGCGCACCTGGCATATGGTGGCTATACGTGGCAATGCTAGCGGAATTCGTAAAATCCATTTCATGAAATAATTTATTAACGGTATGATTTGTAGTCCCAAACAAAGCCGACGTTGCACACCCTTAAACCACACAGCAGCCATGTTGAAACTCTCAGGTCAGTTCGATCCTGATCATTGCAGAGATATTGTGAGCACACACACACAGCCACACACACAACACAGACAGACAGAGATGTCTTGCTTTATAGATAGATAGATACCTCTAAATCCCAAACAAACAGAGAGGCGGTGGAAACACTACTACTTTTGTCCACAGGGGCCGCCAGAATCAACACAACATGAAAGTTCCCTGAAGGAGCTTTAAGTAAACCTGTGTAAAAGGAGTTCTCTTGATTGAGTCATTTGTTGGTTTAACTGATTGATTAACTAAATATACGTCATTGTGGTGTTTGTTTGTTTTTTCATTACCAGTCAGCTGGATAAGAACCATATCAGCTGTATAGAGGAGGGGGCGTTTCGAGCTCTACGGTCTCTGGAAGTACTGTGAGTATTCTGTGGGGATCAGCACAGTCAGCTGGAAGGATGAAATATACACTTCTATTGTCTTGGTATCTAATAGACTTTAAATTTATAAAATAATGCTGTTGCCTTTTTCATTCTGTCTCTACTTCCCTCACTCTCCCTTCATTCCTGTCATTATTTATTCCTTTCTGCTCCTTTTATCCTGATTCTCTCCTCCCCTCTCTCCCTTCTTCCCATCATGTCTCACTCACCTGTCATTCTCCTAATCCTGTTCTCCCTCTTTCTTTCTCCTTTCCTCTCTCTGATCTTTTCTCCCATTGCTCCTTTATCCCTCTGTTATTATTCCTCCTCTCTCTTTCTGTCCTTTCTCTCTGTTTCTATGCCTCCCCCTCTCCCAGCACGCTGAACAACAACAACATCAGCAGTATTCCAGTCTCCAGTTTCAACCACATGCCGAAGCTCCGCACCTTGTGAGTCCTCCCCGTCAATGCACTACGTTACCCAGAATGCCACACTGTTCACTCTGGAAACAGAACCACAATGAGATGTGATACTTACCAACACTCAACCAACATTTTCCTTCTCTCCTTTGACCTCCTTTTCCACCCTCCTTCCTTATTTCCTCCTTCTTCTCTTGCTCGCCCTTTCCTTCCTTCCTTCATCCTTCCCTATCTCGATTTCTTCCTCTCTTTCGTCCCACTCTCTCCTCCTTCCCTGAACACTTCCATTTTCTGCCCTTTTCCCTTTATTCCCCATCCCTCATTCACTTCACTTGTCCTCCCTTTACTTGCACAATGTATCCATCATTTCCATCCTCCCTCCATACCTTCCACTTCCCTCCTGATCTCCTCTTTCCGTCCCTTCCTCTTTTTCCTCCCCCTCCTCTCCCAGTCGTCTCCACTCAAACTCTCTGCGCTGTGACTGTCACCTGGCCTGGCTGTCTCCATGGCTCCGGCAGCGGGCGGCTTTGGGCCTCTACACTCAGTGCAGCTCCCCTCCCTCGCTGAGGGGCCTGAACCTCGCCGAGCTGCGCAAGAGCGACTTCGCCTGCTCAGGTACGGTGGCCCAGCAGTGACACAACGCACTCGGGTCCAAGTTAGACGATGGAGTTGAAGTTGGTGTTTTTCTCATCTGTTTGTAGGCCACGGCGGCAGTGCCTTCGTTCAGCCGTGCAGCCTGGCGTCCGGCTCCTGCCCTCCCATGTGTTCCTGCAGCAACAACATCGTGGACTGTCGAGGGAGGGGCCTCACTGCCATCCCCGCCCACCTGCCTGAGGCCATGACTGAGATGTGAGCACCGTCTAGAGCAGTGTTTCTCAATAATTTTAATATAAGATATTAAGCATCTTTCAGTTTGAATGAGAAGCATGCTGTAAAGGCTGACAGGAGAACAGAGCTTTGAATGAATGTTGCATGAGAACAAATGTTTGAGTAGTTTGAATGGAAACTACTGTTGGTGGAAGCAACATCCAGCTGGCAGCTGTGGTGTGTAATGACCGACAGGAGGCAAATTATTAATGTCTCTCTCTCTGTCTCTGTCTCTCTCTCAAGACGTTTGGAGCAGAATGGCATCAAGTCGGTTCCTCCGGGTGCCTTCACCTCCTACAAGAAGCTTCGTCGAATGTGAGTCTTCTGAAGATGAACTAACTCAACAGAATACAGTTCCAGAGATAAAGAAACATTCATTCAGATAAATGTCACTTATTTTCCCATGTGTGGCCTTTTAATAAAAGAGCACAGAGACAGAACCATCAGCCAGGTTAAGTAAACTGAGGAGGGTATACATCCCACCTCCCCGTGGAAAGAAGAAGCTGGGGAGAAGGATGTGTGTGTGCATAGCCTGCTGCCAACGGAAATAGACAATAAATTAATTTAGAAAACCGATTCTCTAGACTTAATTTTCAGGTGGTTATACACTAATGAAAACATACCTATGAATATTGTATTCCATATCTGACAATACATCCTCCTAAATGCTAGACCCTCGACCTTTAAGTTTACATACTGTAATTACGGCCCACCTCGAATGTTGACGGCCAAAGATTTATGCTCGTAAATACTCAAATAAAGAATCTTTTTTCCTGTATTGTTCAGTCTGTCTGAAACATCGGCACTAAAATATTTCCTTCTATTATTTGCAGTATCATTGTGATTATTATGACATCAAATGATTAAATATAAATTTTTCTTCATGAGTGTAGTTTGAAAGTCAGCTAAGCTAACACCATCTAGCCAGAGAAGCTGTGGCTTTAATGCTCCGCCCACTGAGTTCCACTTCAACCAATGAGATTTCAGTATGTCTGTCTCCAGAGGGGCAATGCTTCGGAGGCAGTTTTCATGTTTAAAAGTCCGATCTGCCAACTGGATCGCTCTCTTCTCCCTCTGTCTCCACCGGGCTGTGGTTTTCCTGCTTGACATAACAAACAGCCCCACTGGATTTCCAGCATGGAGGAGCACTTGATTTATGTCAGACAACAAGCAGATACAATCCCCAAAAGAGGTCTTTTGAGGGTCTTGCATGGTGAATCAAGCGCATGTCACTGTGATCTGATGAATATTTTGAAAAAAATGCACATTAGACCACAATAATAATGTTTATAGCTTTATAGCCTTGTACCCTGTTTTATTTCTTTTTTCTTCTCTTCTTTCTTTGTGGCTTTTGTTCTGTCCACTCTCACTGCTTCTTCCTTTCTCTTTTCCTTTGCCCATTTCCATCCTCAGCCATTCTCTCTCTCTCCATCTTTGTCTCTCTGTGGTTTTCCTTTTCCTCTCAATCTTATCCTTGTCTCCCCCCTCGTCCTCTTACATCATCACTGTGAGACCGTCCCGAGCCCTAAGAGGGGGGTTGATTACATTACCAGGCTGGTTTAAGTGGTTAGTTTTAAAATTTATTATGACATTTGAGCGACTGACATGTGGCAACAGAACAAGGGTTTTATAATCTGACATGTTGTGGTCTGGCCTGCCACAGATGTAAAAACTTAGAGTTGGCCAGCAGAGCAGCTCTCGCTCTCTGAGAGACCGCCTTTATTATGAAAAGTTTGTGTGAAGCTCACTTATGGTCCAGTCATCTCATGAAATGGGGTTTCTCTTCTTTATAAATGCGTTTTATTTGATTTGATTTGATTAGAGGATTAGAAAAATGAACAATAAAACCATTCTATTCTAGTTTGACTACAGAGAATAGCACATGGAAATGTTACATAGAGAGAAAAATGCATCACTAAACACTTCATTTCAAGTTAATTATATGGCACTTTTGGCAAAGTACAGTTACAAAGGTCTTTTAATAACTCATACAAATTTAAACCAAGCTATAAAACAGTTATAATAAAATAAAATGAAATAATGAAATAATCACAAACAGACATGAAAACAATCACTGTTAGTAAAATGTTAAATACCTAGTAATGTCATTTAAAAAAAAACATGTAAAATCTAAATTAAGTAAAAGTAAATGTGAGTTTTTAAAAGAGATTGAAAAGGAGGAACCTGTTCTAGGTGCCCTGGTGTCCACAGACGAGTATAACACAACAGCTCAGCAATATCAGGCAAAATGTCCCCTGGAGCTTTAAAGGTTATTAATAACATTTTAAAATTCCTGCTAAGCCAGTATTAGTAGTAGAAAGCCATTATCGGCGTACAGGGACTGTTTTCAGTTCAAGTCAAAACCCCAGCAGCAGAAGTTTGAGCCAAACAGGAAGAGATTCTGTTGTGGACAATACAGGAAATAATTTATATGATTTATTTTTCTTTACAGAGAGTAACGGTCTCACCTGAGAGCTTTTCCTGAGCTGATAGAAACACGAGGAAACTACTGATTTCATTTGTTTATTCAAGCTAAAATTGTGATCAAGGGTAACATCGTGAGTCCTGCTGTCATGGCTCACAGAGTGGAGTCGGTTGCAGTCTTACATTCTTCTTCAAACAAAGATGAAGCTTTTAGTGGTTCTGGAGAAAAAAAGCTCTCCTGGTTGCTTTGACTGAAGTCTGTATGTGTGATTCTGTCTGCGTTTCATTCCCAGAGACCTGAGTAACAACCAGATATCTGAGATTGCTCCTGATGCTTTCCACGGCCTCCGAGCTCTCAACTCCCTGTGAGTAACACAGATTGTCTCAGTGTGTGTGTGTGTGTGTGTGTGTGTGTGTGTGTGAATAAGTGTGATGAGAGTGCCTCTACCAATATGTGTTTACATATGTCTGTATTATGCCTGTCTATACCTCCGTATGTTTGCACCGCATGCGTGTATGCGTGCCTCTGTTGGTCTGAATAATTCAAAAGTGGCGCCTGCTCTCTGTAAACAGAGATTCCTTATGAAATATCAGGACTTATAAACAATGGGTGGCCTGTGGGTCTGTGTGTATATGTGAGTATGTGTACATATGCGTATAGTGAATTTGTATTATGTGTTCTGTTCTGATTGTGTGGAAATGCGTGCAGGGTTGTAGTGGAAAGTAAAGGCACCAAAAGGTTTTACCAATGAAATAAGAGTCATACTGTTATATTATATTCATAATAAAACATCACGGTAGCTACTAACAGACTGATGGAATATATATCAATACGGCTTCTCTGAAGTGAAAAACTCTGTTCTCTGTGTGCAGGGTTCTGTATGGTAATAAGATCACTGAGCTGCCCGGCGGAGTGTTTGATGGCCTGGCCTCTCTGGAGCTGCTGTAAGTCCAAACCACAACATGCATGTATTTGTCTGAACTGACATTTACACTTGCTGTGTTTTACACAAAGGAATTTCAGGTGTCAAATGACTTGAACGTGCCCAGAATGTGTTAGATTGTTGGACGGAAACTGTCTCTGTGCAGCTTTGCCAAGTGAAGAACCGAGATGTCATCAAGTTCATTGTGCTGTTGTTGTCTTGTGTTTATCAGGTTGCTGAACGCCAATAAGATCCACTGCATCAGAGCCTCGGTGTTCAAAGATCTGGAGAACTTGGCTCTGCTGTCGCTATATGACAACAAAATCCAGAGTCTGGCAAAAGGCACCTTCAGCTCGCTGCACAGCATCCAGACGCTGTAAGAAAACACTCACACATACCGTTTCAAGTTCTGTTCTACTACAGTTCTGTTCCACTCCATTCAGTCTGATCTGACTGATGTCCTGCCCCCTGTGATTTCCCATCAGCCACCTGGCCCAGAACCCCTTCGTGTGTGACTGTAATGTGAAGTGGCTGGCTGACTTCCTGCGCTCCAACCCCATAGAGACCAGTGGAGCACGCTGCGCCAGCCCTCGCCGCCTCGCCAACAAACGCATCGCACAGATCAAGAGCAACAAGTTCCGCTGCTCCGGTCAGTGTTTGTGTGTGTTTGTGTGTGTGTGAGTGTGTGTGAGGGAGACACATAATGAAACACAGACAGGAGTGTGAGTTGAACCTGTGGTGACACTTATGAGCCACAGTTGATAGTGTAAGATGCAGAACTACAGCAAAGCTTTCCTCAAGAGAAATAACACAGTATGTGTAAGAAATACAGAATTATTATCCCCCAAAAGCCTTTTGTCATACTCATTAGCATATATATTAGTTTGTGACACTCTGCTGTCACTTCTCTGTCCTTATTACAAAATCCAGACTGTTGTTTACTGCTCTGTCCAGAACCAACAAGAACTTATTGTCATATATCTCTCATATAAAACATCATAAAGCAGTCGAGTTAAGGTCAGAGAAGGTGTACTAAATACAAGATTATTCCAATTTGAGAGATTTTTGATTGGATACTGTCCCAGACTTGTTTTCCAACTACAAGTGCAGTTAGTTTCCGGCTAAGATAATGTTGATGTTTGAAGACAGCCACAGTGTATCAGGACAGCGGGGACTACTCGAAGTAGACAACTCATGGAGTCTTTCCCTAAATCTCAAAAATTTGAGATTGTAAATTTGTTGTGTGTAGCTTTCACAATAATAATAGGTTTTATGTTTATGGGTTTTTTTTCAGAAATTCTAAGAATGGAATTTCTGTGTAATGCTTTTGTACTGTCACGTTTAGTGATCATTAAGACCTCTAGGGGGCACTAAAGGGGCTTTAGACTTATTCTTATGAAGTAAAGTTCAGGAAATGTTCATGTTCCAACATCCCAATGCCAGCAAAGAACCAGTAACCTTTAGAATAAAAAACATTTAACTTCCTTTAGTTGTTTTAGACCCAATAACTGCTATTATGTGCAGATATTAACTAATGATAAAAACAAATATGTAAACAGCTAGTTTAGTAACACAGTGAGAAGCCCCTGCACTGGTTACTTCACTCACACACACACACACACACACACACTTCCTTCTTCTGTTCAACTGTTAGATTTATCATTATTTTATTTATCTATTTGTGATTCATTCTGGAGTGAGGCAATTTCTCTATACGCTGTACTGTGTGTGATTGTTTTGTATTTAACAGTAACACTTGATTTGATTTGAATCATTCATTTGAATTTGAAGTGTGAGATACAAAGAGACTGAACAAAAGAGTGTGTTTACTAGTTTATGTGTGAAAGTTTACAGTATTTGTTGGGAAGTGTGACAGAGCACGAAGATGAGAATGAATATAGTTAATCTCAGCGACTGTAACTGGCCGCCTGTAAAGCTCCCGGCTGTCTCCGTCACCCACATTCACCCATGCCAGTGTGCGATGCCAGCCCCTGGCCAGTGAAACCATGGCAGGCTCTCTGATCACCACATAAACTGCTCCACGCCGCTTTAGTCCACTGCCAGGCCTGGAAAGCTGCTCGCAGGCCGACACATCACTTCCATAAAACAGCAGAACAAGGAGAAAGATCGTTTCACGCCTTCTTTCATCTTTAAAAATGTTAAAGTGTACTGCGGCCAGTTTGTGTGTGTGTGTGTGTGTGTGTGTGTGTGGCTGTTTGTTCCCTCGAAGCTTTCAAACCTTTTGACTGACATGGTTTTGTTTCTCTTTCTTTTTCATGGCAGCCAAGGAGCAGTACCACATCCCAGGTGATTATGTTTGTCTGTGTGTATTCTGGTATATATTGGACTGTCAAACCTACACCATGCCTGCCTGATCGCTCAAGTACAAATACATTTAAACCAATCAGCTTGACAGGATTTAAAAACAACATCAGGCACTGGGAGAAGTACCAGACGTGGCTGCTTTTAAATCCGTAATCTTGCTGTTTTCTCTCAGTGTTCTTGTTTCTAACTCAGTCAGAAGGAGGGGAAACTATTAATCCCTCTATGGGAAATAGAAGTTTTTCACTCTCTTGTTATTTTACGCACAAATGCACAAACTGGACCTGACTGATGCTGCTTCACGTTATCCACTGAGTGGTCAGCTCAAACAAATGTTTTGTAGATATTATTTTGGGTCTCAGATTTATCTGGAAACTAGTTTGTGCAGATGCAGGAGTTTAAGAGAATCTGATGTTTCCAGAACAGCTTCCAGTCTTTCTAATTAAAAACAATCTGAAGCAAAGAGAGATTTGTGTGTCGGTGTGTACATCCAATCAGGTGTTAGAAAGGTTCATACTGAAGGGAAGAACTGTCAGTCATTATAGACTACAAAGAGAGACGTGAGATTGTTTCATCAGTTTGACCCACATGAGTCCTTTGGTCTGCCCTCTATGTGTGTGTGTGTGTGTGTGTGTGTGTGTCTAGGTACTGAAGACAGGCGTCTGAGCTACGAGTGTAACAGTAAGCCAGTGTGTCCTGCCAAGTGTCGCTGTGAGGCAAACGTGGTCGACTGCTCCAACCTCCGCCTCACCAAGTTCCCTGAACACCTGCCCTCCTCCACTGAAGAGCTGTGAGATACACACACACCTGCACAGAACACACACCTACACAGAACACACACCTACACAGAACACACACCTACACAGAACACACACATCTGCACAGAACACACACACCTGCACAGAACACACACCTGCACAGAACACACACCTGCACAGAAAACACACCTACACAGAACACACACCTGCACA